TATATACATATATATATATATGTATATATATATATGAATGTGTGTATATATATATATGTATGCGAATGCATGTGTGTGTATATATATATACATATATATGCGAATGTATATATATGTATGTGAATGTGTATATATATATATATGTGTATGTGAATCTATATATATGTGATTGTATGTATGTGTATAAATTATTCACATGCACTTTCGTATCACTACAACTTTCATATATTGCACTATTTTGTTTCTTGCTAACAGTTCAGTATATAATGTTATTTTAAATTTAGTCGTGCAGATACGATGTTATATATAAGACATGCATGCATATAATTTGAAGAAAACCGCACAAAACAGTTAAAGGTTAATTGGGATACATAATATTTTAGTTATGGCAAGCACGACAACTGTTATGAGTTAATGTCAATCACCTTTTTCAAATAATGTATGCAAGTGGAGTATCTGATCATCAGGCATATGATCCAAACTGCAAATAACTGGGAAATCAGCTGAGAAGGCCTGTATCTTGTTCGTAACATTTCACTTCTATATGGAATATTGTGACTACGAACAGCAAGGGCGGACATTTACTAATATGGCAAGCTTAAAATCAATGTTGATAAAGTCCTAAAGTCAACCTCTGTATTGTAGAGCGTGAAATGTATATATTTATCAAGGTATCAGTAATTTTATCAAAATAATATTCCTAGAATTGAAAAAATGCGTTTTATTCAAAAGGTCCTTTGAATAAATTCCTGTAATCCAGAAATTTTACAAGATTATATAGCAATTTTATACATAGCGCATTATTTTCTAAAATGCAATATTTATCCGTATAGTCACACAAATCTTAACTGTATACATATTTACGAGACTTCTTTGTATAAAATATCAGTTAACCTTGTTTAATTTATTTTTCAAAAATGCTTTAAAAGTCTTAATATTAAATAAAATTTCATTCATTGTCAACAACGTATATATGAATGTTAATTTATAATGTAACTGAGAGAGTGAATGTCCTCACTTCCTCGTGTTTTTCACGATGAAAGTGTCAACTTGTTCCTCCAAGAACGACAGTGGACCCTGACTTTGTAAAATGACGTCATGAAATTCTTTGATGTCAAAATTATTTCCTGTAAAATAAAACAGAACCACTTTAAATTTACAAACTTGGTTAACAATTATAACTATAGATAAACAACTAAACTTTTTGAAAAAATACTACAATTAATTCACTAAACATTTACTGAGGTAAAATAGAATTAGTGATGAATTAAGAATAATTATTTTTAAACGTTTTACGAACAAAAAGTTTATTTTTATTATTCTTATTTTTAGGGATATGACAGATTCACGAAGTGCTGCGAAAACGTATATGAAAATAGAATATGTGGTCAGTTAAGGAGAATTATCCTTAAACTTTTTAATGAATAGTTGAGTTTTATTTTTTAGGGCTATGACAGATTCACGAAGTGCAGAAAAAACGTATATGAAAATAGAATAGTGATGAATTAAGTACAATTTTTTTAAACGTATTAACGAACAGAAAAGTTTTAAATTTTTATTCTTATTTCTAGGGATATGACAGATCCACGATATAGTTCCGTCGATATTGTTAAAAGGGATTATATCCTAATTTAAAAAGATATTTAACAGTTTGTAATAATAATAATTCTTTTATGGATAACGTCGAATTATTCGTAAATAAACTGACAAATAATGGTTATCAGAACTGTTATATTATTTTTTTACTTTTTGTATTATACATATGAAACAATGTTAAAGTTTGAGCTCTCGTTTATGGAGACTATATATATTATGGAAAATTTAGAGGGCGTTAGTTACTTGGTAGCTAATTGTCATATTTAGAATTGTTTAGTGTACCGGGGGTGAATGACTAACTTAAGTTAGTTAGGTTTGTCTGAGCTTACCCTGTTGATGGTTAAACGGTAAGGTCATTTGTTTTGTTTAACATCATTAATTATCAAATAAAAGGTTGGAGGTTCTGTATAAATTTAGGGTGGCTTTTTTCTGTTATAATTATAAGAATATCGTTATTAGTATTTTTTATAATATCAAATAAAAGGGTGGAGGTTGGGAGTTTTACTTTGTAAATTGTAGAATTTTTCTTGGTTTAATTCTACGGTAACGATATTTATAAATATTAAGGGTAACTGCCTTCCCACAACTGACTGCAGACAGCGAAACTCCGAAAAGTAGTTGTAGCTGAGACATTGTGGGTTCAATCACCTAACTGATTCACTGTAGTTGCTGGCGAGTTTTACATCAGCGTTTAGGTTTTGTCTAATAGTAATAGTTAAACTGATACTGATAGTGATGGATGGAATGTCCCCTACATATTAAGACATACCACTATGTAAAATGGGTAATTTATCTTATCTATTAACTTGTGGTATATGTATTCTTAAATATACAAGACAAACAACTAATCTTTTACACTTAAAGATTAGTCTACTTATGTCTCAAAGTAATAACTAAATAAGGGCTTTCCTCATTCCATCAAAATAGACCATTTTAACAAGCATTCACATGTTAATGTTAAAATTACTATTCTAGCAAAAAACACATAACATCAATTTATTAATGGAACGAGAGGAATATTTTATTTTGAAAACAACAACAACAAAAACTCTTTACCGTTATGGATTAAACCTGGATTTTCAAAACAAAAGTGCTGATTCTTTAAGTAAACATATCTGTACTACTAGACGTTTATTTTGGACTAACGGTTATAATGCTAAACAGGAGAGTTAATATAAAATGTGTAATAAAATTAAAACTACTATTGATAATTTGCCCTGTAATTGTATCAATAGGAATATTTTTGACCTTTTTCATAATCATATTTCAACAGGTAATTTAAATATTATAAGAGTTAAAGAATTAAAATCGATTTTAGAAAAGGTACTAAATTTATAATCTTAAAAAAGACAAATAAAGGTGATATTTTAAAGGACATGGAAAAAATATTGATTATTATATTATCAAAATTAGTAAAAAACTTATTAATTCCGTGTTTATTTTTTGAGTGGAAATTATTCTTTATTAATTCCATAAACAATCGATTAAAAACTTTAAATTTATATAAATATAAGATATTTTCTTTCAATAATTTTAAAAATACAATTAAGGAAACACTAAATTATTATCCATATTAATAAAGCCAGTTGTAATTTGGGTTTTATATGTAAAAAAGAAGGAATCTTAAATAGCCGAGGCACTTGAAATTCTTTTAGGCAAGATTAAAGTAAAATAATCTACGAAACCTTTTCCCTGTTTATTAGCTATATCTGTGCGCCACCAATAGCAAGCCGATTAAATTTTATTACTCATCAGGATCTCTACGAGCTTACCCTGAAATTGGAATTCTTTTAGACAGGATTACAATAAATTAACCTAGAGACCTTGGGCATGATCAAATACATCAATCGAAAGGATTTGACCTCCTGAGTACAAAACTGTAATTAGATCTCAATCAGTCAAGAGATCAAGGAGCTATGAGAC